TTCTTATTTCCTATGCTTTTCCCTTACAAAGATTTTTTTTTTTTTTTAAGACTATTAGGGTTGCTATGCCGAAACATCACATGTGAAAATATTTTAAAGCAAACTTTTAAAAGACACAGAGACATAAATGCCTAAGAAATGAGCATTTCTGTACTTTATTGACATTTGAACTCTTTTATCCCTAGGTTTGGTTTTGGTGAAAATCTTCACTTCTTTTTGCACTGGATTTTTTAAACAAAATTCCTTCCAACCTCATTTCTTAAATTCCCCAATTTTAAACTTGACTGACATCAATATTCTTCTTCTTTTTAGAATTACGGCTAAGAAAGTCTTTTCTTCCCTGGTTTCACACCCTAGAGATCTGCTGTGGAAGACGATGTTAGAATTTTTTTAAAGGGGAGGAGTGGCATCCCTCCTTCGCCCCCATCTGCATGCTTGGCAGTCACTTCACTTATTTCTTTATATTCCTGAGGAAGGAAGGAATTGTCTCTCCACTTTGGGACACCAAAACCCTGTCTCTTTTTCTTGAATCAGGAAGAAGATCTTAAAATCTAATCTGTTACCTAGAAGGAAAAGGGGGCGGCTCCCCTTCCTCCTTCTCTTCCCTGCCTCCTCTCTGTATAATACCGAGGTTAGTTACGGAACACTTTACTTGGCAACTACCTCCTTCAGAAGTTTAATTGCAAACCTCCACAGAGAATTTGATTCATCCTTTACAATTGAATCCATGCCTTACAAAAGAGCCAAATGTTCTCAAGAGAAAACAAAATTATTTTACTAAAAGTATCCAAAAATAGACCAAATAAATGAAGCAGAGGAAGAGCACACTTGAAGGGGTCTACATTTTCCTAAAGTTATTATGAAATATTGTATCTTTCATAAACGTCTTTGCCTTGTTACGTCCCTATTTGGAGCAGCTGGCCATTGGGTAAATCCAGGTGCTAGATTTACTTATAACAAGTATACCTGTAGTTTGTAAAAGCTCCTTTGGGAGACAGTTTGGAAATATATTCAAGATGAACACCTAGATTGGAAAAACACCAATTTACCTTAAGTGAGCAAGTACAATACAATTCAAAATGAGGCAGGAGGAAAAGGCTTTAAAAGACATGAAGTTAAATGGTTCTTTGCTTCTTTACAAGCTAAATTTGCGGAACACTGTAACTGAAAGTTCTAACTGCCGCCGTACTGACTGACTAAGTGACATTCAATAAACAGTAACCGATGATGCTGAAAGTAAGCTATTCTGAAAGAAAGCGTATCTTAAAGATGCACACAATTCTAAGCCAAATCTACTCTTCCACGTAATAGAACTCGGCATCTGAAGCAGAAAAGAACATGAACAAATTAACGTTGTGTCCCTAGATGATTTTGCTTATTTGTGTCCTCAGATACATAGCTACAGCCATAAAACTACCCCCTAGAAATTTTTTATTTGAATCTATAAATGACACTTTTATTACTTAGCTATTCAAAGCAATTATGATATGGTAATAAGTGATATTTTTAAGTCCTTTTAAAAAACAGTAATATATTCTGATAGTATACAGAATACAAAAGCAAAAGTACAGAAATGATTCCAACATGACCTTCTTCAGTGGTTAGAATTTACTTAAGTACGATTAGTGAATCATCTGAAGACTTATCGAAAAAAGTTAAATCACCAATGTAAAATATAGAAAGTGAATACAATTAATTTGCAAAAAAACAAAAAAGTAGCCATAGACACAGCACCAATCTGGTCACTTAAAAAGTAATAAAGTGTACTGAAATACCCTCTGCAAGTGTGGATGATACAAAACCTGGAAGCCCTTTGCCTTTGAACTATCCTAGGGCATTGGCAGTTCAGTGGTAGAATTCTTGCCTTCCACGTGGGAGATCCAGGTTAGATTACCGGCCAATGCACCTCAAGCGCAACCAACACCCATCTGTCAGTGGAAGCTTGCATGTTGGCTATGATGCTCCAGATTTCAGCAGAGCTTCCAGACTAAGACAGGCTAGGAAGAAAGGCCTGGTGATCTACTTCAAAAAATCAGTCAATGAAAACCCTATGGATCACTTTGTTTCGGTGTGCATGAGGTCGCCATGAGTTGAAAGCCAATTTGACGGCAGCTAATAACAAAAACAACAACCGTTCCAAAGTAAAATAAACCCTTATCTATTGTATTTGGCCATTCCAGTAACAACTTCTTTAGCTTATCCTGCTTAATTACTCGTTTAAATTTTATACTCATACCTGTGTATAAAACATTTTGGAGGAGTTTAACTTGCTCAAGTCAAACCAGCTACATACAAGATTAAACTGAAAAGCCTAAAACTAAACCCAGGGATACTTATTTCATGATGTTTTAATCTAACATTCATTCCTTTACTTATTTATATTATCTGGAGGGACCAGTCCATGGAAAAGAACATCATGCTTGGTAAAGCAGAGGGTCAGCGACAAAGAGGAAGACCCTAAATGAGATGGATTGACACAGTGGCTGCAACAATGGGCTAAAACATAGCAACAATTGTGAGGATGGTGCGGGACCAGGCAGTATTTCATTCCATTTTACATAGGGTTGCTATGAGTCAGAACCAACTCGACATCACCTAACAACAACAACTATTTTCTGTAGCATACTATGATTAATTTGAATGTATTTGTGTATATGTAAGTATATTTATTACCACCTTAGAAAAGAAGAATAAGGCAGTAGAGATGGATTTCAGGGTACATCTTAGATACTGCTTTTGCCTGATAGACAATTTGATTCTTCAAATTCTTCCAATCTCATCCTTGTACACTAAGGATCTACGATTTATCAGTTTATTTTATATAATGCTACCAGACCGAGAGCTAAGCTCCCAATCTGTCTTTCCTGACAAGCTTCTTCCTACTAACCCAGTCTTCTCTGACTTTGTCTAGACCTCTAGGCTACACCTCACAGTACAATTGGCACTTAGTCATTCCATATTTGCTTCCTGCTCATGGGTCTTATTGTCTCAAATAGATGTAAAGTTTCCAGCATGGGGCTAAGTATTTTACAATAAAATATCATGCTCTCACCCACTGTGAAAAAACCAGTATTAGATATAAAGTAGGTACTTAATAGATGCTTCTTGATCAATTTATCTTTTTAGAATTGAATGGCTAATAAAAAGTTTTATGCAGCAATTTACTTGGCTAAAAGAATATGTATAATTCTTCATGGCACCTGCTGGGCATTGCTGGGAGATGCTGAAATCATTCATCAATATTCCCTTTATGTGCTATTCAATTAGTTTGTCTGGGGCAAGGTCTAGAAGGTATATCAATCAAAAGCTTAATAGTAAGCTGAGTACAAGCTATCTTCACACTAATGTTCTGTATCCACTATCTCAGAGAAACGGCTTGGGTCTAAGAAAGTATTCAAGTGTAGGAAGCTTTAAGGAGAATGCAATAATAAGGACTGAGAATAATCATGTGCTACTGTTTTCTGTAGTATATGATGAATTTGAATTCAATTTGGTAATATCCTTAGTGAAAAAAATATATATTACTAAGAGAATGCTCATCGTCATGACCTATTTTGAATTGTCTTAGATAAAATTTTTCCTCATTCTGACTAAAAAAGCTCAGGTGTCAGTATGTTTTCAGTATATGGATTTCTAGTTTGTTCGTTCGGTTATGTGAAGCATAACTTTAATTCCTAATTTATTTCCTAATTCTTAAGCCAATTAAAAATATATAATCAGATATATTATATTTAAATCATAATGCAAATATTGCTGATATATATTTTTCTCTTCAGAGCAATGATACCATCATACAATATTAACTATTAATTCTATCCAACAGGTTACCATAAAAAGTCAATGAATTAACAATCATAAAAGCATTTAACCAAAGATCCCAGATACTACACAGCCTAAAGAACTCTGAAGAACTAAATTATTAGAGTTACTGTAAGAATTTGTCACCCAAAATGAAGTAGTTATTGACAGGATGAATTATTCATGTTTTTCTATGTTATACACAAATTGCCAAAGATAATATTGAAGAAAATGAAATATCTGAAGAGATGTAGCGTTTTGGAACATATGAAATCTCTACCAAAAATATCATCAGGTGCACTCCCTGAGAGGAACCTTATGGCATTAGACAATACAAATAGATATAGACTCTTTTTAAAGCTTTTGTTGCATAAAGTATTTTAATCGAATCATTTAATGACTTCAATAAAGCACATATGCATTTATAAGAGTTCCATTTTTCAATGCTTACGTCGAAAGATCTGATGATGATAACAAAGTCATGAAGTCTATAAGAAATGTTAAACCCACAACATGGGGAACAGAATTAATGTCACTGAATTATACATCTAAAGATGGTTGAAATGACAGGAAAAGAAAAAAAACGTCAACCCATTGATTATTATCCTAGGTCTGTGTTCATTTCTCACTAACTGACATGGATTTTTACACTGTTTTTATTCATCACATAAGTCAGGTTCTAGCTAGTGACAAAATGACAAAGTTTACATAGTTTGTTTAAAAAATAATCTAGATCATTAAGAATTATCTTTAAATTAGCCAATCAACTGTAAACGATTGATTCTTTTTGTGAGTTTCTGCGAGGGGAAAGGAGATACATTAGCTAAGGGTTTTAAAAAAATCACTAGGGAAAACGATCGCTATACAAGTCTTTTTCTTAAAGCTTTTTTTTCCCCCTATGGAGGCAACATGCGTTAAAGTAGAGGTTAACAAGCAATTAATAGCACAGACTTAACTAAAATATTGCAAAGGTGATGGTATAATATCTTGGTAAATATGAGAATTTGAGAGCTATAAAATTAAGACTTTGATATGTGTAAAATCAATAGACATGACTTATCACTATTTAATATGAATTTTAATTTTTAAATGCCATGTTCCAGTAAAAAAGTGTACTGCACAGGAAAATTGAAATTTCAATAAAGAATCAAGACAAAAGAAACAAACTTCATATTAAAGTATCTTTAAGAGGTTATACTTACGCAGCAACCTCTTCTTTTGACAACCCTTTGAAATTCACCTCCAGATAATAATCTATGTCATCTTTTTCTTTGATCAATTGAGTCCTAAATGAAATGGAAAGAAATAATAAAGCACTGCATTGAGTTGAAAAGCTACCAAACATATAAAATGCCACTAGGATAACAGAAATATTCAAGGTACAATACCATATATAATACATTTTCTGCAATAGCTATAGAGTTAGGCAGTTGACTGATAATTTCAAAATTCTAATTTTCCTGAATGGAAAAAGATAGGAAAGAATGTTAAACTCAGTGTGTAAACTAATAAAACACCAACACATTCAGGTAATCTGCACCCTTCTGTACACTGACTTCTATCCTCAAAGCTTATAAGGTCTTCCATTTGTTTGCTTTGTTTTATAGCTTAACTTTCCAACTACAGAAGTCATATTTTGTTTGAAACAGGATCTTGAACTAAGAATACCTATTTGATACAAACGTGTAAAATTCATTTGTTCCAAACATTAATAAATTTTGCTCTGAAATACTATTTTCAGTAGTTTTTATCACACGTAAAACTCAAACTACTATTAAAAGTTTAAGGTGCAAAATTATTTTAAAGACTTGGCTGAGAAATTGATCATATTTGTAGCATATTCATTTTTGACACCCCCATGCACTGTTAAAAATAAACATGCTATTAATATCTCATAACCATGAGAATATAGGACCAAGCAAATATCTATTTTTCTCAGAAGCAATAAGAGCATGTTGATACAAAAATTTGCCTTAAATGGTTATGATTAAAATGTTCTCTTTGGTAAAATGAATACAAGAAAAAGTTTTCTTTAAAATTCATCTGGTTTTGAGGGATATGAGGTTGGCCTATGTTTCTGTTCACCTTGAAAATGTAAGTAATCTCAATCATTAAAAAAGATAGAACTAGCTTTCTCAGACTTTGTAAATATTTCACATTACCCATAGGTAAAATGGAAAATAAACATAAATGTGTACGTGTATATATATATATATACACACACAGATATACGTCCATATATATCAGAATTATGCACCTTTCGAAAGATTCCTCAGCCACTGAAAAATAAAATTTTGATTTTCTGCTTTAAAAGAACTTTTATGTTAGTTTATCTGAATATATTTCTTTTGAGGGCTTTGGTATTTCCCAGAAATACTAAAAACGAGGTGCAATCCTTCTCAGAACCAAGAGGTCTTTAAAACTTTGATCATTATGCCTCACGGGAATTGAAAAGAATGCATATAATGAAAATAATCAAATCTACAGATACAAATTATTTATACTAATAAATATTTGTATTTCTAAAAATCAAAAATATTCCTAAAACTCCTGCTTTTTATTCTCTATGTCCACGCATTTATAAAAGAAAACGTATCTCTGAAGCTGTGTGGGAACCATTATACAGTAAGTAGGATAGGAAATGAAATGATCAAACGAGCTTTGGTTTGATAAATGTTATTAGTGTTTGAATGAGGCTCTTCAATCCTTTTGAAACATCAAATTTGAATATTCAGAATATACTAATATACTTTTGTCTTTTCCTTAAACACAGTTTTATTTTCTGAGATTTGCTACTCACATGTCTTAACTGCAGGAAATTCATTCTGTAGGGAAAGAAATAAAAACAAGGGTCACGTACCTTGCAAGGTTTTTGGGGGTGCATGGCAGCTTCTGTCGAGCTAAGGACGTAAGCTTTGGGCGTGTCAGGGGCAGTGGGGGCAGGGTGGTCATTATGGACTGCAAAAAAAATAAACAGAAACAGTATTTTAAAACAGACATCTTGGAAGAATCCTTTAAGATGTTATTACCGAGTCTGTCGGAGGAGCTGAGAATCTCCGTGTGTGGAGCTACAGCTCTGTTATTCAGGAACGATGCTCAGTGAGTGGATTCTGCAGGTGGCTTCTCTCATTATTTTCTTCTGCTGTTTGCCTTTTGGTCAATTTATTACCTGTCTGCATCCACCACAAAGTGGATAGGGAGAAAAATCTGATAAATGAATTAGAGGTTCAGAAAAATGGCAGCTTTGGTAAGAATTTTATTATGGGACATGGCTGCAATTAAAAAGTCAAGATTATTGGAACAACTCTGGATTTCAAATGTCTGTGCTTTGCTTTCTTGTTACAATTGAGAATTTAAAAGTGCCCATTGCCCATGCCTTGCTGTATTCTAAAAACTTTATCACTCACAAACGAAGACTTCCCCTTAGTAGTGACAGACACTAAGAACAATTCTCAGGGAGACAGTTGCCCTGAGAGAGTATACAGCTATAATAGCATAACAAATCACTTCAAAATGTAGTGGCTTAAAAAAGATTGTTTAAAATAATGATCATTTTATTATCTCTTATAGTCAGTGTGGGTCAGGAATTAGGACAGGGCACAATGAGGATGACTTTTTTCTGTTCCACAGCAACCTGGACCTCTGCTGGGGAGACTCGAACGTCGCAGGGCAGAGTCAAAAGCTGGGAGTAACTCAATGGTGGGTGGCAGGAATCACCTGAGGCATTATTACCCACACATCTGGTGGCTGACGCAGACTCTTGGCTGGGGCATCAACTGGGCCTATCTGGGACACATACATGCGACCTCCTCACATGACTTGAGCTTCCCCAGAGCGTGGCAGCTTCAGAGATCTTATGTGGGAAAGCAAGTATCTCAAAGAAAAACCAGGTAGAAGCAGTATCCCCTTTTAGTGCCTGACCTCAAAAGTTACATAGCGTCACTTCTGCTGTGATAACAGTGTCCACCTATTGATGTTTCAAAGTCATATTGTAAGAAGAGAATGTGGGATGGGAGATATTGTTGCAGCCATCTTTGGAAAATACAGTCTACCACAGTGGGGGAAAGTAAGCAAGCAATAATACAAGTGGGCCTATAAAATCGAGTTATCTAAATCTTATTCCAAAGAGAAGGAAGTGTGAATATGATTTCTGTGGACTTTAAACAAAGTGTCACATGTTGCTAGGGCTCTCAGATGCAAAAGAACTCACACTTCTACTGTTAAATAGAGAGACATCCAAAAGATCAAGTCTTCCTGATCTCACAGTCACTATTCCCACCACCTTTGACCTCTACCTTTAGCCCCACCAAGCAACTAGAAGGCTTGTCTCAGGTTTTAAACCCCCTTCCTCCAGCATTTACTACTTGTGTGACCTAAGATAAATCACAATCAGTCTGGGCCTTCAATACATTCAACAGATATTTATTGAACTACTACTTGCTGCCACCCATTGTTCTAGATGCTGGAGATACAGCAGTGAACAAAAAGACAAAAATCTATGACCTCATGGAGTTTACATTCGAGGAGTGGATGTGGAAAAAAAAAAGATAATACACAAGGAAAATATATAGACTGTCAGATGATGATAAGATCTATGGCAAAAAATAAAGCTGGGAACTGGAAATTACCCAGATGCTCACCAGTAGTGAAGGAATACATAAGAGCAGAAGGAGATGAGGTCGAGGAAGCTAAGGAGAAATTTGGTGGTGTCGGGCCTGGCAGGTTACTGTAAAAATGGTGTCTTTTACTCAAAAAGGTCATTCCGGCTTCTCTTTTGAGATCAGACTGTAGAGGGAAGAAGGACAGACAGCAGAGAGGCCACCTGGGAGTTTACTGTGAAATGAGTGAGAAATGTTGGTGGTTTAGGTAGAGACTGAGGTGGGGAGAGGTGGTCTGACCCAAGACACAATCACCACCTAGCACTACAAAGCTGAGAGATACAGGAGAGGAGAGAAGAGGAGAGGGGAGGGGAGAGGAGGGGAAACGGGAGGAGAGATCTGAAGGAAAATCTTTTGAAATGCAGTGTAGAAATGGGCAGTCTTCTGTTTCTGAAAAATATTCTTTTACATAATGTTCTATATAATTAAAGACAAAATTCTAATGCAGATCAGTTTTTTTTTTTTTTTTTAAGATATAATAAACCCAGTTGCCATGGAGTCAACTACAACTCCTGGCAACTCCATCTGTATCAGAGTAGAACTGTGCTCCTTAGGGTTTTCAGAGGCTGAGTTTTTGGAAGTAGACAACCAAGACTTTCTTTTGAAGTGACTCTGGATAGACTCGAACCTCCAACCTTTCAGTTAGCAGGCAAGCACATTAACTCTGCACCATGCAGGGACACATTTTAGATACAATGTTGTTGTTTTGTTGTGTACCATCAAGTCAATTCCAACTCATAGCGACCATGTAGGACAGAGTAGAGCTGCCCCATAGGGTTTCCAAGGCTGTAATCTTTATGGGAGCAGATCGCCACATCTTTCTCCTGTGGAGCCAGTGGTAGGTTTGAATTGCTGACCTTTTGGTTAGCAGCTGAGCTGTTTAACCACCGTGCAACCAGGGCTCCTTTTAGATAATTAAAAAAAAAAACAAAAAACCGTTGCCACTGAGTTGATTCCGACTCATAGCGACCCCACAGGACAGAGTAGAACTGCCCCATAGAGTTAACAAGGGCCACCCGGTGGATTTGAACTGCTGACCTTTTGGTTAGCAACTGTAGCACTTAACCACGACGTCACTAGGGTTTCCTTAGATATAACAGAATCCTAATATTATGCAAATTCTTATGTCATGATAAGATCTATGAAACATAATGTCCACTTATTTTTATACGATAATAGCTTAAAAGCACAAAGTCTAAACAGCAAGTGTTAGTCCTCTTCTCTAGAGAAAACATTAGAAACATTTTGTATTATACTTCATAACTTTGTAAAAAAAAAGTGACTTAACTGTTTTCTGATCAGATGTTATATTAAGTAGTCGAGTTACTTGGATAACCTGAGCTTACTAAAGAATGGCAAAATTGTGCAGGACGCGTAGTAAGAACTTAGGACCAATATAGGGTTAGACCCATGTACAGGTTTGAAGGGACCTCTGGATAATTGCAGAGGCCATGGAAGGGTTCACCAAGGAGCTTCAAAATGAGCAAACAGTATTTACAATTTCTCCAAATGCTTGAAGACCCAGTTACTTGTAGACACACAAAGGGACTAGGCCTCAGATGCTCTGATCCAATCTGCCTGTCCCATCAAGGTGTGTGTGTTGTTGTTGTCAGTTATCGCTGAGTCAATTCTGACTCATGGCAACCCCATGTGTACGGGTAGAACTGCTCCATAGAGTTTTCAAGGCTGTAAACTTTAGGAAGCAGATTGTCAGGCCTGTCTTCCAAGGCTCCTCTGGGTGGGTTTGAACTGCCAGCTTCTTGCCCAGTAGTTGAACGCTTAACCATTTGCACCACCCAGGGTCCTCTT